GTAGAGCTGGATGAACACAGCAGGCCAAGCAGCATCAGAGGAGCAGGGTTTTCTGAAGAAGGGTTTAGGCCTGAAACGTCAACCTTCCTGCTCCTCTGATGCTGCTTGGCCTGCTGTGTTCATCCAGCTCTACACCTTGCTATCTCATGTTTGTCCTATCTCTCCTCATAGCTAATTCCCCTACGTTCCTCGCTGTTTGCCATGACTCTCAATGCTCATCTCGCCTCTGCTGTTCTCCATGAAACCCAACAATGACACTAACAGCAATAATCTCATATCACTGCTGAATTCCAAGGAGTGTATTTATTTTACCTGAACCGTAATCTGCTGTGTTGCATTGTCATGAAAATCATTGTTTGACCGCATGGAATGCTCATAATCAAACCAATTTTAAGATGAGATGAAATAGATTTTTAAAGCTTAAACACTATGGGGAAGTGATAGATTGCCCAGGCTGTTAATCATTCAAGCCCTCTGGCTGTTGAATTTCCTCCTTGCTTTTCAGACAGTGCATTTTTTTTATATTCATGTGGGATGATTGCATAAATAAGTGTCTGGCACAGGTTATTATAAAACAGATACCCATAAATGTAGAGACCACAGGGCACTACCCCCATTGTAAATTAGATATGCAGAAGAAAAGGACTGCTATTCACTTTTTTCGTGGCAGAGGTGAGAATCTACTATTGACCAATTCCTTTAAAATTGTGCAAGGTTTTAATTGAATGGATACAGAAGGAGTGCTTCCTCATGTGTGCAAATTGCATAACTAAAGACCATCAATATAAAATGGTCATCAAGAAATCCAAAACAGGATTTAGAAGAAACCTCTTGACAAAAAGAGGTGGTAAAAATGTTAAACCTGCTACCCCAGGCAGTGGCGTAAGTGAATCGCGTACATGCAATTAAGTGGAAACTAGACAAGCAAATGAGGGAGAAGCGAACAGTTGGTTAAAAAAAAATTGCATGGGAAAACATGAGAGATGGTATAAACACTGTCACAGCTTAGTTGGGCCGAACTTGGTCGGTTTCTGTGCCATATATTCAATGAAATAGCATGTATTAAGTCTCAAGAAAGCCCGTTTTGAATCAATGATTGATTGATTAATTGATTTATTGTCACGTGTATGAAAGAGTTTGTGATGCACGTAACATCGCATCTTCCTCAGCCCTAGTCTCAGGTAAAGTAATAGATTAAAAAAAACTAATCAATTCTCAGAGAAAAAGAAATAGAAATGGACAGAGGGACTTTTACGGTTTTTACATTTTAGATTTCTGTGCAATTTCAATGAGAAGAATCAGCGGACTGGATTTCACATACCTTATCAGTAGCTTCAAAGTTGTGGGAAGGGGAGTACATAAAATGTAGCAACTGGCCTACCCAATGCCTATGTTCCCATGCTCAACATTTCTGACATTTTACAGCGTTTGGGAGAGACTTTGAGCAGCTTACCAACTCTTGGGTCAATAGATCATTTAAGAGTCTCATCTCCTCATTGTGGGTATTTTACTGTGTTGGGGTGATGCCCATATCATGTGGAATTCCAGGCGGTTTTACAGTATGGGCTGACGTTGGGCAAGTGCAGGGCCGGGAGAATCTCCTTTGCGGCTTCCTGAGCACATTGAAGGTAATCCCTCAAAGTTTATCGCACCTTCGAACCCTCCACTTTTCTTCTTGAACCCAGCCTTCCCCATCCCGAATCCTCCTCAGCCCCTGGGTAAGACCCCACACTTTCCTGGTCCCCCTCAGCATAGTGAGATTTATTCCATCTGTGTTAGCACTGGTAGGACTGCAGAGTTCTGTCAATCCAGTTAGCTAGCAGTTTGTAGCTGGGATTTCCTCCCAAGATAAGGGTGGAAGTCTTGCCTTAAAGTAATTAACTCATTGTTAAATTGCTGCACAGTGATTGTGTGGCGAGTTAGGGTCCACCACATCTTGTAAAATGCAGCCCATTAAAAATAAATCACTATCATTATTCAGAATGCCCTGAAAATTCAAAAAGGCATTTCATGGGCATCTCATTGAAGGACGGACCTCACCCTCCCTACAGCCAGAAAACCTGCTTCAGTAGAATGAAAACCGAAAGCACTGTGGATGCTGTAAATCAGGAGAAAAAAAAAGTTGCTGGAAAAGCTCAGCATGTCTGGAAGCATCTGTGAAGCAAAAATCAGAATTAACGTTTCATGTCCAGTGACCCTTCTTCTGATCCCTTCCTGAGTTCTGAAGATGGGTCACTGGACCTGAAATGTTAACTCTGACTTTTCTTCACAAATGTTACCAGATCTGCTGAGCTTTTCTAGCAACTTTTGTTTTTGTTCCTGCTTTAGTAGAAGTTAGGATGAGAGCAAAATCCCTATGAGGTGACAGAAAATGGTATTCTTGCTTACAACCAAACCATAAGTGTAAGTCATTAAACATGTCCCAATTTGATAAATTTAAGCATTTTCTGTTTTGTTCCCTCATGGCAAGTGGAATAATTTTAGTGCAAAACTCATGTAATGAGATGGAATGAGAATTAGATTTAAATCTTTATTATATTACAAATGACAACCATTGAGATCATTTACAGTGAGTAAAGTGTTTTTTTTAATATTGGAGGAGAAGCAAACATGACTATTCATCATCTACATTTGCTCTCCAGCTGAATTGGCTGGAGATGGAAGCTGCAGCAGCTAAAAAAATTTACAATAGAATAATCATGGCATTATCTCAAGGACTGGAATAACAAGCTGGTTCCAGTGCCAACTCCTCTATGGCTTGGCCAGCCTTGTCTGCTGAGAATAGGCTGCATTGTTTGCTATAAGAGATAACAAGGTGTAGAGCTGGATGAACACAGCAGGCCAAGCAGCATCAGAGGAGCAGGAAGGCTGACGTTTCGGGCCTAGATCCTTTTTCTGAAGAAGGGTTGATCCAGCTCTACACTTTGTTATCTCAGATTCTCCAGCATCTGCAGTTCCTACTATCTCTGTATTGTTTGCTAATTGTTTGACTGCACTTGTAAATTATTTTCCTAGACAGCTCAGGGAACTCTAACATTCTGAAAGATTTACATCTTGAGCAGAGTCTTAGGGTGTTAATCTTCTTCATTTCTATGTTTGTTGGGTTTCTATGAATTTTTCATAATGTTTTATAAGGTACCACATTAAAACTTATTGCAATGGAATTAAAAGGAAAATTGTTGTGTGGATATGGAGGTTGTGTACAGCAGAAATTAAAGCCTATGGAAGATTTTTTTTAGGCTAGAAGATGTGCATGTGTATCTATTCGATGGATATTGCAATTTACTATCTGCACGTATAGTCTGGACTGGAATGATAAATACTAGAATTTATTGGTGACACCAAATTGGAATTGGATATAACAAACTGAGATAGTGCAAGTCTGCAAGAGAACCTCGATCAGGAAAAATAGACAGGTGGATGGGAATGCAGTTTAACAGCACAAAAGGGGCATGTCAGAGAGAGAAAAATATTTTTATGCAGACACTTGGTGGAATGTGAAATCCTCTGTTATAAGCTGCTTTTGAAGCAGAGCTCTTTGTTTTTGAGGGATACCAGGCTGATATTATATCTGTCTTGTTTTGCTAATTAGCACAGACACAATGGAAGGAAGCTGGTTATGGTTGTCAGCAGATCTCAGTCATGTCAAAAAGATGGCCTTCACTCAGTGGGTCCCAGCATAGTAAGTCCAAGGCAATCTCCTTTAGCACTGTGGGGGCATAGATGTGGTCAGTCAGTCACTCGGGGCAGTCAAAGTCAAGATGCTCTTCATATAAAGGTTGAGAAGCATAAATTATGAACCAACCCACCAACCCTCTCAAGTTTCTTGGGGGCATAGAGACACGTGTTAAGGCAGTTGAAAGCGGGTGGCATAGCTGTTAATTCTTGTGCGGGGTTGGGGGGTGGGGGGGGGGGGGGGGGGTGGGTGGGAGGGGCTGGGTGTCCTGAATGAGCGAGTGGGCAGCACAGAGGGCATGGAGGACTAGTGGTGTCAGGTGTTGGGTTCAGTTACAGTGAGTGAGGGGAATGTTGCAGACATTAGTGGGAGTGATAGTCTGCGAACTGGTCTATACAATGGACATGTTGGGGCAAGGTATTTGTGGGAGTTGGATACAGTAGCACGGACAGACCAAATTCAAGGTATCAGAGAGAAAAGTTGGCAAGTACGCTGGGAGAAAGGAGAAAGACGTTGACCTTTTTCTTACAATGCTGGGCATTCCTTCAAATGGTTGAGACTTCTTTAACCCAGGTGGGCAACCTTGGACCAGGCTGGCATGGTTTGATGTTATGATTGTCTGTATTGATCCTGACGAAAGAGAAAGTCCCTCTTTTGCACAACCCCATCTAGCAGGACCTCTAGGCTCCAACGTACACAATGGGGCACCGATTTCCCCCCATCTGTCATGTCTGGGGCAAATGGCAGAAAGCGTATGAGGCAGCTCTGGACAGATAGTGCATGTCCAGGTGCACTGCGAGCTTTTAAAGATGGTGCATGCGCAAGGGATGCCGGTGAATTCCAGGCTATCCATTGTATGACAGGTTGTTTGGGAACAGTGCAGGGTAGGACGGGGCCAGAATTGAGGTGCGGAATGCCACTGGGGTGACATAGTCAATTCATGTGGATGGTTTGATAAGATACAGCAAGAGAACTGGCTATAGCTCCCAGCAGAAACACCTCCGAAACAAAACTCAGTGCATTTGGCAATGAGCCCAAAGAAACCTAAGATTCAGCCTGTTGAATCCAATCTCCCTTCATAATTAAAACTCTCCAGCCCCGGCAACTTCCTGGTAGATCTCCTCTGCACCCTCTCCAGTGCAATCACATCCCTCCTATAAAGTCCAATGTTTTATACAGTTCCAGCATAACCTCCCTGCTCTTAAACTCTGTGCCTTCTTATCCACTTTATCTACCCAGTCTGACACCTTAAGGGACAGGTGGGTGTGCACATCGAGGTCTGTCTGATCATCGGTGCTTCCCAAAGTCCTACTGTTCATCATAAAAGGCTCTGTGTTGGTGAACGCAAATGGCCTATCCCTGCTTTTGACATGAATATCTCACATTTGCCCCTCCATAATATGGTAGGGGTTCACTTTCAGCTGAAAACGTGCACACAGTTTCTGCCTGCTAGGATGGTACCCTCGTAATTTGCATAATGCCCCAACATGTCCATTGTATAGACCAGTTCGCAGACTATATGAAGTAAGAGTCAGCCCTTTTGTGACTCAATCATGCAACCTGATATTTGAATGCAGTCCATGTTGTTCAGTACTGATTAGAAATGCTTCCTCAGAATTGACAGTGTGCCTTAAGAAAAGTCAGAAATCACATGACACTAGGTTATAGTCTAACAGGTTTATTTGAAAACACAAGCTTTCAGAGTCTTACTACTTCTTCAGGTGTCAGTGAGAGAGGTGGTACTATAACCTGGTGTCGTGTGATTTCTGACTTTGTCCATGCCAGTCTGATACTGTCATCTCCACGTTAAGATAAGTCAGAAGTGGAATCATGCATTTTAAATTGTAAATCCAAACATTTTAACAAAATCCTTTTTCTCCTCAAGATTGCTGCTATCTGTTAAATCAGAAATATGATATCAAGTTGGATGATGTGTGAATGTTAAAAAGAGGGGAGATTGTAAATTAAAACCCTAAAGGGAATACATCAAATTAAAATACCATGAAGAGTGTTTTTTTTAGTTCAAAGCCTGTAAGTCTGCATGATGTGTGACCTTGGTGCTTCTTGTTTTAATGCTGCATTTAATCAGTGTTAGGTTTCTTTTTGAGGAAGCAAGCGCGAACAGATCTGTTTTGCACTTTAGCTGATGACTGGCATTCACTAATCATGTCTTAATGTGTAATTATTGCTGTTTGTTACTTCCAGCAGAAGGAATAATTAAAATTTAAACAGTGTGCCACCTCACTGCTTTTTCCCCAACATATTCCTACACAAGCTAGCACTCTTTGATCTCAGATCACAGCATAATCATCATTTTAATGGGGTCTTATCTATTAACCTTGCAAAACATCTAGAAGGTAGGGCCTATCCTAATAGAGGTAGGAAGAACAGAACACATTCTCTTTCAAAAGCAAGATGTGAGGTCTAGGGAAGTTTTCTCCCTCATCCTCAGTAAAACCTGTGTTGGCTTTGCAGCATTAAATGTCCAGCTGTTAGGTTTCTGGTGAAATTAGATTTTTAATCATTCTATGCCCCCGAGAGTATTACTAGACGAGCTGACAGATGCTGTTATGTTTACAGAAACATGGCATTCCTATTGATATGGGCTATGCCGTAGCCCCACATCACTCTGGAGTCTATCCAGTCCACGTGCAACTCTATGAGGCTTGGAAGAAGGTGTGGAGTATCAAAGTGACCAGCACTGAAGAGTATCCACACTTGAAACCAGCACGATACAGACATGGCTTCATCCACGGTGGCATCATGGTAAGACATGGTTCATTATCTTTATTGAAAGATTAGGAATCTGAGTTGTCAGCTATTTTATCAAACTGTCATACCATTTCCATAATAGTTCAAATTTTCTGTAAAGATGAAATGTGAATATGCTTTCACCTGAAAAAAAAATGCACAACAATTTTGAGAGTTACATCAATTTTATTTCTTACTTGTACACATATGCTCGCTGTGACTTGGCATTGTGTTCTGAATTTGGATCAAAAACAGTGAAATCAGCTGTGATCAAATATATGATTTTTTTTGTTTGGATAAGACTAAAATCAAACTTGAATCAGAACGCCAAGTTTAACTGGGTTCCATAATCAAAATAATGTTGGATGGACCTGCTTTAAAAAATATCAGTTTCAGAAAGAATGAATTAAGTACTTCAAACAAATAATAAACACCCAGAGCTATCTTCATAAAAAGTAAAACAACCGGGAAGAGATATGAATCATCAGCCACATCTTCAGCATTTCTTCCACCACTCAGCTTCATCTAGCCGTTGTTCCAAGGTGTAGATGTCTGAGGTTTTATTCCACAATAATATTGTCGATCAGTACAAAGAGAAAACAAAATGGTAATAAAAGTAAAATATTGAGGGTTCTGGAAATCTGAAGTGAAAAAATAAAGTACTGGGAATACTCCGCTGTTCTAACAGCATCTGTGGAGAGAGAAACATTGTTATGGTTTCAAGTTGAATATGACTGTCCTTTAGAACTGAAGGAACAAATGTGATGGGTTTTAAGCTGTTAAAAGGGGAAAGGAAGAAAAAAGGGCAAGTCTAGGAAAAGGTAGAGGGCAATAGAGATTAAATGAGCAAGATCATGGAACAAAATGTGAAGAGAATGATTTGATTGTTATAAAGAAATGAAGCTTTAGTCCAGAGTGAATGTAAACGGCAGAATAATCAGCAGCATTATCTAATAACATTAAGGCCAGCACACAGAAAAAGTAGAATGAAAATGAGGTACAGAGTTCATAGTCTGCAATTTTTGAACTCAGTATTGAATCTAAAAGCCTGTAAAGTGCTTGATTGAAAGATGAGTTGTCTTTTTGATTTTAATTTGAACTTGCTGTAACGTTACTGAACTAGACAGAAATGTGAGTGTGAGAAAAAGGTGATGTATCAAATGATAGCAAACAGAAGCATGTTTGTGGACTGAGCAGAGATGTTCAGTAAAATGATCACGTAGTCTACATTTGGTGTCCCTGACATTTACAGCAGGCCAGACTGTGAGCAGCAAAAAACAGTTTATTAAATTGAAGAAATACAATCGCATACTCTGTCACCTGGAAGGGGTTTATGGGGCCTTGGATGATAGGTTGAGAGCAGGAAACCTCTAACAATGTCTTGGGGAGCTGCATGAAAAGGTGACAAGATGTTGAGGGTGATTAAGAAGTGGACCAGGATATTGTAGAGGGAGCAGTTCCTTTGAAATCTTGACAGGGGAGGAAAGGATGTATTTGGTGTTGGCATCAATCTGGAGGTGGTGGAAATGGCAAAGGATGATCCTTTGGATGTGGAGGCTGCAGTGAAGACAAGAGGAACCCTGTCATAGTTCTGGCAGGTAGGAAAGGACTCAAAGCAGAAGTATAGGAAATGCACTGCTCATGGTTGAGGGTCCTGTCAACCACAGTTGCTGGAGGAATGCTTGGTCAAGCTAGAAGGAAGATATGTCAGAAGCACATCGTGAAAGGTAGCATCATCAGAACAAAAATGACCGGGACAAGGAAGCTAGGCAAATGGAATGGAGTCCTAACAGCTGGCATTGTGGTAAGATGTATTGTCAGTCAGCAAAGCTGTAGGGGGAGGATGTCCACAATAAAGAGGAAATGGTTTGAGCCAGGAAATGGGACATTTTGGAATGTCATTAGAAGAATCAGGTGAAAAGAGACTGAATAAGGGGAGAAAACATTAAGTCATAGTAAGAAGAAAAAAATTCATTTTGGCCAGGAGGGCAAGTGGCATTTAAAAGGAGGGTTAGGCATAAGCCTATTGATTGCTACAAAGGTGGTTCTGACAAGGTTAGCACCGAAGACTGCATTAAATTCTGCCCAAAGTATAATGTTATGAGGGCATGGCTGGGGAAAGGCCTCTTGAAGGGGCCTGACTGTAATCCTGGCTCTCCCATTAGTCTTCGAATTACTATCCGTCTTGCTAATGTAATTTGTATCTGATTGTTATCAATGCAATAAGAGAAGAACCTCTTCTGATTAGACTAGTTGGTGGTTTCTGTCTTCCAATTTTGATAAGTAGGCCCTGTAGATCTAATGAAAACAAAAGGATAGCAGTAGTAAGGCATACTTGCAGTGTTGATATCACAAGCTCACAAGAGACTATCGTTTTCAATAATTGCAATCCTGCTGTGGACTTGGACAGCACCTTAGGTTGAAAGGCCTTCTTCAGTACTCTGTCATTCTTTGGTTCTTTTCAGTGGCTTACAAATTTTGTCTAAGATCCTATGTTTACCTTTATTTATACTGCTATTTGTTTTTCTAAAATTTCTTTAGGATGTGAACAATAATATGTAGAAAAGCTATCACAAGCTACTTAAACAGGGGTGACTTTTTACTTTGTGAAAAAGCTTAAAATACATGACAGCAAATCAGCAGCTAACACGGAGAAATATAAAATGGTTAGTAATTAACTCACACCCATTTTACACTATTGGGTAATGTTGAAGTTATCCCCTGCTTGTCCACATCACTAACTTAGACTGAAGTAATATACTACAACATGTGGACTCAAACAGAAGTAATAGGATGTTTGTAAATAGTCTGAAGCTAAAAAATACAGTCTGTAGACTAGATTGATACAACATTAAACACAACAATTGCAGTTTCACATTTGGGTTTTGTTCTGAATTACTTCATATTAATAATAAAAACAAATCACAGAAGAAAATCTGAAACAAAAGATGCAGGAAATGCAGACAAGGCATGTGGGCATCTGAAAGAAAAGGAGAAATTTGAGATAGCATCATTTGGATATTACCCTGCATCAGAATTTTACATCAGTTATTGATTAGAGTTGTCATCAGCAATCGGTCAGGAGTAATTATATTCGAAAAGAGTTAATATCAGAACACTGAGAAATGTCTCATTTGTGGCTTCTTTACAATGGTCACCTGTCACAAAGGGTGGTGTATGAAAGGGAGCTATGATTGTTTAAAGATTTCAACTCATTTATATTCATATTAAGATTGTTCTATGGATTCAGGAGCCACCATTACTTACAACAACAGCAGCAACACCTACACTAACTGACTGTTGATCACATGCTGCTTTACATCCTGGTTCCTCAGTGACACTTGTACGTCATTTTCCTATTCTCTTAAGAGATATTGAAACAATAAGGTTTTGCCTCATGTAAGTATACTGCCCTGTTGTAAAGTGAAAGGTAGGTGAATGTACCCTGACTCACCTTGACCAGTTTGAGTAACCTGTTTTAACTCAGGGGCATTACATGGTGAGGTAGACAAAGGGGACAAGAATCAGGGGAAGATCCAAGACAACTTTATTGAATACTTTATCAAGGAAAAACAATATCTACTATTATACTTTAATTAAACTGTATCAATCTCTAAGAATCATAGAATCCCTACAGTGTGGAAACAGGCCATTAATCCAATGGGGCATCCCACCCAGACCCATGCCTGTAACCCTGCATTTCCCATGACTAACTCACCTAGCCTGCACATCCCTGAACACTGTGGGCAATTTAGCATGGCCAATCCACCTAACTTACACTCTGGGAGGAAACTGGAGTACCCGGCAGAAACCCACACAGACACGAGGAGAAAGTGCAACCTGCACACAGACAGTCACCCAAGGGTGGAATCGAACCCAGGTCCCTGGCACTATGAGGGAGCAGTGCTAACCACTGAGCCACCGTGCTGTTCTTCATTGGACTATTCAATGAAGAGTCTCAAATCTGCACTAACTATTTATTTCTGACATACATTTCCGAGGATTCACTGCACCCTATCTACAGGTCTTACTGCTGTATTTGAATGTTTTGTCTGAAAGGACTGCTAATACCCATTCAATAAGGCTGGGACAGGCTGTTCCTCGGTCTTTGAGGGTTGGCTGATGTTTCAGGACCTGCACTCGTTGATTTAGGCTTCCCCTTTCATCTTGGGCTGGTTCTGGTCTTTGTGTCTTCCCACTGAGGTGGTCTCTCTGGCGGGGGGTGGGGGGGTGGTCTGGTCAGTCTGATGATGCTCACCATGAGGTATAAGGAGCTAGAGACGCTGTGCAGCTCTCTGGAGACGCTTTTGAAGAAGGTACAAAAAGTGGAGAGAGATGGGGCTCAAGGTTGTCCTTTTTGTCCCCATCTTTGCGTCCTTCTTGCAGATTCTGTGGCCTGTGTCCAATACCAGCATTGAGCGGGGGCGGGAACAACCAATGAGGTGACTAAATTCCATATTTGGAGGTCGCAGGACATGGCTTTGAACATTGAATTGTCAAGTGCTGTCCTTGTCACACTGTGCCTCTGGCCTCCTACTGAGCTGAGGGCCACCAAGTCTGGGTAACATTCTTCTAACAGAGCAGCTTCACTGGAGGTGGCTGTTAGTACTTGGCCAGGCAGTTCTCGGCTTGTATGGTTTCAACAAGAAGTTTATTGTTTATATTCTGGCTGCATAATACTGTCTGTTCCAGCTCTGCAGTTTGCAAATTGCAGAGTTCAGCTAGGTTTAAACTTGGCTTCCATTTTCTGAGGTTTTTAATCCATGCTCATGGAAAAAAAAATTCTGTAACAGTCCTAGAGGTCAGATAGACATTTTCTACAGTGCTAAAATGAAAGCATCCCAGTGTATTTAACTCCAAGATTGATAAAGGATTTGAACGATAGAGTATGTTTAGAGTTGCTCCAACCTTGGGACATTGCATCGGTCTGAACTGTCGTATTGTCCCAGTCTTAGTCACCAAACTTTAAGAAGAATGTGAAGAAATTAGAAAGAAGATTATGAGAATGGTTTTGCACATGAAGAACTTAAGTTACTTAGGCAGATTGGAGAAGCTGGGATTGTCCTCCTTGGACAAGAGAAGGCTGAGAGGAAATTTGATAAAAGTATACAAAGCCGTAAGGGGACAAGACAAAGCAGACAAAGAGAAAACGTTTCCTATTTAAAAGATTGAAGGATTCAAAAAGAGAGGGGGGACCGATTTAATGTAACTTATGAAAGAAGCAATGAAAACATAAGGGGAAAACTTTTAAAGTCAGCAAAAGGTTCAGATCTAGAATGAACTGCCTGGATTTTGAAGGTAGGGTCATTTGATGTATTTGTAAGGAAATTGAATCATTATCTGAAAGAGAGAAATTTACGGGGCTACACGGAGAAGGCAGGGCAGTAATATTAGGTAAATTGCTAGTTCTGAAGGCCAGCACAGACTGAGTGGCCCAAATAACCCCCTTCTGTGCTGTAATAGTATAATATCAAAATGGAATGAGTCAGAGCTAATGACATAAAGTAAGTGAAAATTGATGAATGCTGCCAGTCCACAAAATTATGTGTAACCCACCCATTGATTAGATAAAATTTTCATGAGTGTGAAATTTAATGTTGCCTGTGGATATCCATTTATATTATTGCAGTCACCATCACACACCACATAAATATGGTATTCCAATGCTCAGTGTGTAAAAGGGGATAAAGTAAATATCCCTCTTGACAATGATTGTATTTATAGATTTCATTTTCATAATTGACCTCTCTATTCCATCTTGGCTTAAGATGGTGACTGGGGAAGTGAAGTTCTACGAGTGGGGCAAAACAAATCAATTTCATTGGTTTTAAACACCTTAACAAAGCAGATAATCACCAGAATGGTTTGTGGCAATTTAAAGGTATCTTGGGTATTCACTAAACGTTTTATAGGTGAAATCGGATTTCACGAATGCAGTGAAATGGGTACATGTTGTATTGTCAACCCAGTTTATACAACTCCCAATTTTCTTTTTCATTAAAGCCTGTTTCCCCATTGCATGTTCAACTTGGAGCTAATTTTGTGCATTCAAAAATAAGTACCCCATTTTCTGTAAAAGTTGGATTGCACATTGTAAAATAAATTGGAGTGAGATTCAACTTCAGACATTCAGAAGTAGTAACATTCCATTTGGTACTTTATTAACTCTAATACTTCAAATCATATCGTAACATATCATAGTGATGTTTCTGTTATTATGAAATATCTATCCACTTAGAATGAAGAGTTTTACATTTAATCTCTCTTTAAACAACATTGGCTGTCAATTGAATAATTGGGTACCAAAATCTCTGATCATGACCATTTTTGTTTCGGAATTGCAACTGACCTTTGTAAAAGTATGAACTAGTGAGCTCAAAAGTTCAATTAATAATTACCTTTCCCACTGTGGGAGTCAGACATACAGACCTGTTAAAGTCATGTGTTTGATTTGCAGTTTATGCTGAAGCAATGAGCAAGACAGTAGGCTGTCGGTGCCTTTAAATTAAGGAGGGAGAAAATCAGCCACACATCAAGGCTAATGATTACTTTTCAGTAACTATAACAATCTCTTGTTTAGCATGTCTATTAGCTTCCTAAAAATCAGCATGCTAAGCGAAGATTGCTTTTCCATAAGAAAGCATGTAATAACTGAGTTACATTTCTGACCACTAATTTTTCTATTAAAAATCTACAGTTTGGCTGCCTTGAGACAAACTGAGTGAAGAATCTTTCAGTTCTGAAGAAAGGTCATACCAGAATCAAAATGTTAATTCTTTCTCTCTCCATAGATGCTGCCAGAACTGCTGAGTTTCTCCAGCATTTTGTGTGATCATTTCAGATTTCCAGCATCTGTAGTATTTTTGCCTTTATTCGTGAAGAGGATATAGTTTGGTTTTGATGGCACCATGTTTGACTAGGCTGCCTGTACTCACTGTCCAGATCCACACATGGGACTTGATTCTACTCTCCCCTACCAACGGATTTGATGGTATGTAAATTCTAGTGGGTGTAGTCTTCCCAAATCTGAAAGCCCACTGAGTAGCCATCCCATATCCATCAGTATTTTACCCAGGAGGGGCAGAAGTCCACTCCATGTGGGAAGTCTGGCAACTGGAGTTACACAGGCTAGTGTTGGCCAAGGAAGTTGGGGGATCTCGTAGACCTCCAGACCCCATCGCTCAAAAGTCATCTTCTGTTTTACATCTGCTCTTGTCCAACTAACCAATCCTTCACTAACCCTGTCCCCTCCTCCCCAGCTCCAGGAGTAGCTGAGAATTTAGTTCAATTTCTTGAAATGGTGGGACAGCCAATATTCCCAGAAGTGGCCATCACTGCAAGCTGACACTACTGGGACTAATGAGCTGCCAGGCCTTCAGATGGTCAGGACATTCTTCCAAGATAGGAGCAGAAGACTCATTGTAAAGCAATTAACCCTGGTCCCAGTATTAAATTGCTGCATGGAAGCTGCTTGGATTTTGGGTGGGTTTCTCTCGAAGATCATGCTGCTGCATAATATCCAGCCCATGAAGATCGAGCACAGGCCATTCAGCCCAGTGCACCTCTGCCACTTCCATTATCCCATTCTAATGCTTCTTCCATGGAATCCTGTGAAGACTTTACCTTTCAATCTACTTATTAAGGTTTGAAGATTGTTACTGAATCTGCTTTTCCTATCCTTCCAAATAGCACATTCCAGATTACAACATCTCACTGCATAAAAACACTGTTCATTTAGTGGAAATGAATGGGGCGGTGAATAGTTGTGGAACTGTATCTCAGCACAAATCAGAGCCTGTAGAAGGAGAGTTTCATTAAAACATAACAACCCTGAAAAGTTGCATTTTAGAATTTCAGCCTCAAGTGTTATTTATACAGAAAATTTCTTATATAATGTAGTCTTGGAGTATATATATATATATCAAAAATGCAAATATTGCAGCTGATAATTTTGAAGAAGGGTCACTGGGCCCAAAGGGTTAACTTTGCTTTCTGTTCACAGATGCTGCCAGACCTGCTGAGTTTTTCCAGCAATTTCTGTTTTCATTTCTGATTTCCAGCATTCGCAGTTCTTTGGTTCTTTTGCAGCTGATCTAGTTGTTTAATGCGATGGAACTTGATTTGAGTGCATTTTCCTATCTGATTTAAGATCCAGTCAGAAAGTGTTATAAGCAAAACAGCACAAACAGTTCATTGTGTCACAATAAAAACTGGACAACCTTATTCAAGGATAATGAGCTAAATTGTACCAAACCCTTAGCATTTAGCTATATAAGACCCAGGGACCTACATAAGAAAATGCCATTTCCTGAGCAGCTTCACAAGTAGGTGAAGATTATTAAATAGCAAAACGATTACTTGACCTTTCCAACTGTTTTCCAAAGACCTTTTTAAATTGAATTCTGTCATCCATTATCTATTTTCCTCCAATTTATTCTGCTTTGTGTAAGACAGTGTTTCGAGGAAAACCTGGTCAAATGTATCTTTTCTATCATTTTCTTCCTTAGGTACTTCCACGACAAACTTGTGGCCTTTTCACCCATACCATATTCTACAAAGAGTACCCTGGAGGCCCGAGAGAACTGGACAAGAGCATCAGAGGGGGAGAACTTTTCCTCACTGTTCTTCTTAATCCAGTAAGTTTTCACATTATATATAGGAGTGGACATCGGTGATGGCAAAGAGATTCTTGGTTTCCCTCAAAATTGCCCGCAACCCTGAATGCTAATCTTCCACAGCTTTCTCTCCTGTCTCTCCTCATTATTCAAACTTATCTTCTCCATGACTTCCCCACCTGACCTCTCAAAGTGATACCAGTTTAAAAAGCTGATCAATATTCCTTCCTGTCTCCCGCACCAGCACATTTTACAAACCCTTCCCTCTCTTGAGGTACAGCTTACTACCGCAGCCATCACGGTCTTGCATTCAAATATTCCAAATCAAATGCCATTCCTCAAGGAGAGAAACAGTCTTGACATCCCTGACCCTGAATAATATTGCCCAAGCTCCACCCTCCTCTTCCTTTCCTCTTGCTTGCAAATTCCATTGCCATTTCTCTGGCAACTCCATTTGTGCTTCCAGCCTTGCCACAGCATTGAAAACAAACATAGAAGCAGGCAGCATAGGAAAAGGAAAACCAGCTACTGCTATCTCTTTGATAGAGATATCCAATCAGTTCTGCTTTTCCCATGTAGCCATACTACGTTTTGCGTTCATTCATGGGTTGTGGGCATTGCTGGCTGAGCCAATACTTATTGCCCCCATCTGGGAAGCCTTGACAAGATAATGGTGAGCTGCCGTCTTGAACCATTGCCATCCATTTGCTATAGGTAGACCCACAATGCTGTTAGAGAGTGAGATCTAAGGTTTTGGCTCAGTGACAGTGAAGGAACAGCAATATATTTCCAACTCAAGATAGTGAGTGGCTCAGAAGGGAACTTGCAGGTGATGGTGTTCCCATGTATCTGTTGTCCTTGTCTATCTAGATGAAAGTAGCCTTGGACTTGGAGGATGCTGTCTGAGGGGCCTTGGTGAATTTCTATATGCATCTTGTAGTTGCTACATACTGCTCCTGCTACCGAGCATCGTTGGTAGGGGGAATGAATGCTTGTGGGCTTCTTTATCCTAAATGATATCAAGCTTCTTGAGTTTTGTTGGAGCTGCACCAATCCAGGCAATTGGGGAGTATTCCGTCACACTCCTAACTTGTGCCTCGTAGATGGTGGACAGGCTTTTGGAGTCAGCAAGTGAGTTACTGTCCAGAGAATTCCTAGCCTCTAGCCTGCTTTTGCAGCCCAAGTATTTATAGCATCATGAAGATTTGCAGCACAGGAAATGACCCTTCAGCCCATCGAGTCTGTGCCAATCAACAAGAACCACCTGACTATTCTAATCCCATTTTCCACCACATAGCCCATGGCCTTGAATGCCTTGGCATCGCAAACAACATCTAAAAACTTCTTAAATGTTATGAGGGCTTTTGCTGCTTTCACCCTCACAGGCACTGAGTTCTAAATTCTCACCACCTTCTGGGTGAAGAAAAGTTTCTTCACATACCTTCTTAACCTCCTGCCCATTTCCCGACATCTATGCCCCTGTTCATTCATCTCTACAGCAACGGAAGGCTTTCTATCCTCTCTATGTCCCTCATATTCTTTTATATGGTTAGTTCAGTTTGTGGTAAATGGTAGCCCCCAGGATGTTGATAGTGGAGGATTCACCAATGATCATACCACTGAAGTCTAGGAGCAATGGTTAGATTGTCTCTTATTGGAGATGCCCTTGCCTGGCATTTGTGTACCTCAAAAGTTGCTGTCATTTATCAGACCAAGCCTGGATATTGTCCAGATCTTGCTGCATTTGAACACAGACTGCTCCAGTAACTGAGGAGTTGCAAATGGTGAACATTGTACAATCATTGGCAAACATTCCCACTTCTGACCTTTTGATGGAGGGAAGGTCATTGAAGCCCCTGAAGCTGCTTGGGTCTAGGACACTATCCTAAGGAACTCCTGCAGAGATGTCCTGGAGCTGAAATGACTGACCTCCATCTTCTTATGTGTAGGGTATAACTCCAACAAGAGGAGAGTTTTCCCTCTGATTTCCATTGATTCCAGTTTTGCTAGGGCTTCTTGATGCCACACTTGACCAAATGCAGCCTTGATTTCAAGGGCTGTCACTCTCACCTCACCTCTGGAATTCAGCTCTTTTATCCATGTTTGAACCAAGGCTGTAATGAGGTCAGGAGCTGAGTGGCCCTGGCGGAACCCAAACTGGGCGTCACTGAGCAGGTGCTGCTTGATAGCACTGTTGATGATACCTTCCATCACTTTACTGATGATCGAGAGTAGACTGATGGGTGGTAACTGGCCCACTTGGGTTTGTGGTGCTTTTTGTGTACAGGGCATACGGCTGGGGGGTGCAATATTCTACATTGTCGGGTAGTTGCTAGTGCTGTAACTGTACTGGAACTGCTTGGCTAGGGGAGCAGCAAGTTCTGGGACATCTTTGGGACAATTGCTGGACTGTTATCAGGCTCCTAGCCTGTTGCACTATCCAGCCTTCAGCCATTTCTTGATATCACGTTATGTAAATCAAATTGGCTAAAGACTGGTATCTGTGATGCTGGGGACCACTGGAGGAGGTTGAGATGGATCATTCACTTGGCACTTCGTGCTGAAGATTGTTATCAATGCTTCAGCCTTCAATTCTGTAGTGATATGTTGGGCTCCCCCATCATTGAGGATAGGGATATTTGTGGAGTTTCCTCCGCCAGTGAATTAAGTATCCACCACCGTTCACAATTGGTTGTGACAGAACTGCAGAGCTTAGATCTGACCCAGTATTAGGGAGTCAGTTGGCCCTGTCTTTCACTTGCTGTTGTGTTCTTTGGCATTTAAGTGGTTCTGTTTGGTAGCATCACCAACTTGACATCTCAGTTTTAGGTATGCCTGATGTTCCTGACACAACCTCTTGTACTCTTCACTGAACCAGACATCACGGTAAAGGTGGAGTGGAGGGATACACCAAGCCTTGAGGTTGTAGATTGTTATGGAGTATGATTCTGCTGTTGCTGACAGCTCATCGCTGCTCATGATGCACAGTCGTAAGCGGGCAGATATGCTCCAAATTTATCCCATGGATCACAGTGATAATACCATCTAATGGATGGTAACTTCAATGTGACCCAGGCCTTTATCCCCACAAGTACTCCCATTAACCTTGTCATGGACATATGCAATATGACAGGCAGATTGTTGAGAATGAGATTAATGTTTTTTTTCCCTCTTGTTGGTTCCTTCACTATCTGCTGTAGACCCAATCTGACAGCTATGACCTTGTAGCACTCCACCAGCTTGGCCAGTAGTGCTGCTGCTGAGCCACTCGTAGTAATTAGCAAGCACCACCCCCCCTCCCCAAAAGCACCCAGAGGACATTCTGTGCCCTCAATGATTCCTCCAAGTGGAGATCAGCATCAAGCAGTGCTGATTCATCACCTGAGTCTTTTGAGGGGCTGTGGTTAAGGTGCCTGGTAATCAGCTATAGTTTACTTGCCTGCATTCAACCTGCTGTTGTGAGACAATGTCAAAAAGAACAAGTTATACTACATGAGAAAAGAGTACTGATTGGTTGACATGTGGACTCTAATTGATAGAGGCACTTCCATGGAAAATGCACCAGCCACATGATGACTGGCAGTTACTTGCCAAGCTTGTTTTAATTTAAACCATGCAGGTTGACTCTGGTCAAGACATTGTTCTGAGGGATGAACTAAAAAACGGTTGTTACCTATTTTGTTAAGTTGAAATAAATGCAAAGTGCATATGTGTTATTGCTGTCTGCAAGTTCACCAGCCTTTGGGATGTATGGCCTACAGGCATAGGATCATACCAATACTAAAATTCATACACCACATTACTTGCTTATGTGACAGGCCTAATGGTTTGATGGCAGTATTGTTAGTGATGAACCCTAGAACTGAGTACCTACGCACCTACCAGTGTTAGCAGTTCCTGCTTTTGTCATCTATCAGTAGTCCATAATGTGTTGAACATCTCTATTATATTCTCCCTAATCTCTTCTACCCTAAAGAAAACAATCACAGCTTCAATTATTTCTCCACATAACGAAAATTATTCCTCTCTGGTCCCATTCTAGTGGATCCCTTCTGCGCCCTCTCCAAGTTAGTCCTGTCTTTCACTTGCTGAAATGTCCACAATTCAATACAATGCTCCAGTTGTTTGTTTTAAAAGGTTTAACATTACTTACTTGCTTTTGAACTTGATGCCATCGTTTATAAATCCAAGATTCCCATATGCTTTGTAACAACTGTGTCAATTTGCCTAGTCGTTTTCAAAGATTTATGTACGTTAATCAAAGGTTTATGTGCTGTTGCATCCCATTTAAAATTGTACCATTTTAAGTACCTCTTCATTTAAAGTTGACTCCATTCTTTTTTTTTGGTTTAATGTCATTAATACAATTATACTAATATAATTAAAGATATATCTAATATCACTTAATGTTGTGAATCTCATTTTAAGATTACGTGGCCTGTCTGCTCTCAAAACCCTCTCCTCGTGCTTGCATTCCCACATTCAGTCTTCTAGGCCTTCCTCCAGTTGTCCCTGCCCTCAGTCCCTCTTCACAACCCCATCTCTAGGCTCTTTTCTTGCCCTTTAAAGTGGGCAGTGTCTGCTTTCTCTGGGCTGACATCTGCCCTTGCACTGAAGGCCTGGGCCCCACCTAGTGGCAGACGTTAATCAGTTCAGGTAGTTTTCCCTGCATTGACCAATGTCAGCCACCAGATAGAGCATGATCAATTAGAACTTCATCAAGAGAGTTTACTTTTTCATATATATATGTTGAGTAATTACACATATGTTGTATTTATTCAGTATTTTTAAGTTTACTTTATTTTGAGGGGTACTGTAAGCATTTAAGAATGAACATAATTTCAATTTAGTATTGTTTTAAAGTTGGTTTCGGTTTAGAAATGTCCTGAAATATAACTGCCCCATGTTTATTTGATATTGAGTAAATTATTTTGTTTTGCAACTTACTTCAGTTAGGGATACACAGTACTTCAAACATATGGTATAGTATTTCAACCTGTACATCTGAGCACAAAGTATCC